TTATTAATTATTCACGCAACAAAATCAGAACAGTGAGTTCTGATTTTGTGTATTTTACAGTGAGTTCTTGTAAAATAGTGACATACATCTTGAGAGTGTCCTTAGCGTCATCGTCACCAAATTTGTTGATCACTTTTTTTAGAAGAGAAAAATTGCAAAATGACCAATAATCTTTTAAAAACATTAGTAGCTCTCGAACACTACTATTTTGATTGATTAAATTTGTACTGAAAAAATGAGGAACATCAGTTGATTTTTTAAAGTTTTGTTGTGGTATTAGATCACATAAAAATTTTTTCAACTCATTCAGGGTTGCTCCTTTTGATGCTATTGATCTAATTAACTTGAGAATTAACGATGCAAACATTCGATCAACTTTTGTCATCTTTGCATGGTAGATCTATCTCACAGAAGGTAAATTCTATTTTAACAAGATAATAATAATACAGCTATTTAACAAACCATGAACAAACACACCTCTGATAATTCTACAAACTGTGAATTCCCTTCAAATTCTATAGCTTGGACCCTTGCCCCAGGAGCAACGTTTGCAACATTCTGTAAAACTAGCATTAGCCTATCATTGTTAGGAATCATTTCTTTGAGAAGAATGTAAGGTGCACTGAATTTTAATTCAAAGCAACCGCTATCGTAAGAACAAAACTCTAATGCATCAATGCTAATACAAAGTGCAGAAGCAACTTACTCTTCTAAAACTAGTAGAACATTTGCTGAAAATTTTTCTGTTGGAGAAGGGATAGTCATTTTAAAAATAAAGTCACCAGAACCCTGAAATGCATCAGAGGATTTTTTTGGGATTTCAAAAAGTGACTTCTTAAGAAATGGATTTAAGTGATTTTCCACATAATCTTCATAGCTTTTAATTGAGACTTTAAATTCATAAACAAGTGAGCCAATCAAACTGTGATTGAACCAACTGACTTGACTTTCAAGTAGTTTCACAACTTCACTTTTTGTTTTAGCTCCTTTCAATTGGCTCTGAACTTGAATATAATCGGAATCATTCAGAAATGAAAATTTTTGTAACGAAGATTATACATAACTAACTCATCAACATCGACATTCTCCTGATCCTTTAATTTAAACCTGCTAAAATCTCACGAAGAAGACCAGCAAACTTTTCACCGACTTTCCTCGATTCTTTAATCAATCTGGCTACAAGTGTATGTGTAGTTAACTTGGTAACTTGGAGTAGAGGAAATTGCTTTTGTGCTCCTGTTGGACAACCATTCTTAAGGAAATCATCTAGTGTACAAGCTCCACACCCACAAAGAAACTGAATGTCTTCTTCATGAAGTGTGTCAGAATCAACACCCTCCGGCGTCAGCTTTCTGCTTTGCAGCTAGCTCTATAACTAAAAAACAGATTGTCAACTTTCATTGACATTCTAGACTACCTTCTTTTAAAAAATCTAAAGCTTGGTCAATTAAATCAACTCTATCACTGTCATTGAGAGCCTCAATAAGATTGTAATAAGTAGCACCATCTCCATTTTTTTCCTTCCACTTGGCCAATGCAAAAATTCTTCGTTCCTCTTCAGTATTGTTGTCAATTTTAATGGCTTTAATTTCAGATTTTGTTACATTTAGGTTGAAGCCAACTTCCACCCAGTTATGAAGATCCTTACTAAGTTTAACCATAGATATTAGAGACTGTATATGTAGTCTTTAATATCTATGGTTTAACTAGCACATCGTTTGACGGCTGGTGCTGCCTTAAGTCTTCAACAGTAAGGCCTCTAGGAATAATGTGCTCTTGAACTAGACTCTCACCTGTAATTAAAGAATTCATACAATTATTGAACTACAGTCTAAACTGTAACAATGGCTTACCAAGACTATTATCATCGTTATCGGGCAAACTATCAGGAGCCCCTTCCGACATATCGACTGCGGACATACAACTCGATGAATCCATAGAGTTATAAAATATTTTAACCGCAAAGGGTGCAGTTAGATGCAAAGGAATGTGCAAGCATGTACGCAAATGAAATTATTCATTTTCCCATTAGACTACAGGTATGCTTATGTGAAATCTATGTTGTCCCTGTACCCCTGGACTGAAATGCAACAGCAATTCTCAAATTGCAGCAATTCTCAAAACAATAAACAATTTTGAATAAGCATGACAATTACTAACACATAATGGTACACACTATAAGTAATTAGATTAAGTCCTTTAATCCTACGATAAAAAAATAAGTTAGTAGCAACAAACAAATCTCCATAGCCTACTTTCAGCTACTGCTTTCTGATCAATCTTTCCAAGAGCATCTACCAATGTATTCCAAGTTGTTCCTCCATTTTTCTCAACATCATCCACCAGATTTAGCCATCCTACCAAAGTTTCTTCTAGGCATGCTTCAGCATCTTTAGAATTATCACTTTTAATAGTGTTTAGTCTTGTTTGAATTAAACCTAGCTTTAGCCCAAGGTCACTCCATTTACTACAGTCAAAACTGCTGTCTTTCAGTGCTGAAACTATTGTATTTAAATCTTTTATACCTAGATCTAAAAGGCAAGTGCTCATACATGTAATTGTTATGATAAAGAGAAGGCTATTTAACAACAATTAACAACTTACTCTTTCTTGTCTCTGTAAATTTAGTATCTGTACTATCATGATTAACTAAGAGGACACTAATAAGTTCCAGTTTTGGCTACTTACTTATATTAGGATTCACAGTGATAGTTGTTGGACGCTTTGCACCTTTCAATGAAAATCGTAGACAATTATTAATACGAAAAGGACCACTGCCTCTCCAATGAAGCATAAATTGCATGTTACTTTCTATATGGTCCTGAATTTGAAGCTCATCCTTGTGATACTATTAATTATGATAAAAGTAATAATATTCATATCAATCATAGATATTATAGGCAGTGTCCCATAATGACTCTCATCTCACAATAGCGAAATCTACTCTTTAACAGCTTACTGAAAGTGGGGTGAATTTTTCTCGAATTTCCCAACTTTCCACTGGTGGGTTAGCAGTAATGTTCAGCTCTAAAACAGTGCTGTTTTCTTCAAATAGTACACCAAACTCTTCAATTTCTTGGATCCAGTCTTTGTATTTTGTATCATCAAATAACTATTATACTATGTAAAAAAACAAATTTAGGCAGACATTAACTCACACTTCTTGTCACACCTTTGACTTGAGACCTGTAAATAACAAGGCTGTAGTCCCACTTGTTAGCCTTGGACGTTTTGTAGAATAAAGCACCTTGAAAGTTATTGACATTACAAGACGTGACAACTTCTTTACCACTAAAACCAGTCAGTTTAAAAAAGACATAAGATCCATTAACACTAAAATCACCCACAAACTCCTTAAATATATATATCATATTTTGTGGGGTGTCTTCAGCTGTTAAAACTTTGATTGATGAGCTGTTTACACTTCCTTTTACATTATGCCATATACCCAGTAGTACAGGATTTACAAATTCTTTACTGCTTGATATCCAGTAAACAGCACTGGCTGGTTTCCAAGTCTCTTGATCAGGAAAAATATATGGACCAGACACACTAACACGAATGACAACCTCAGCCAGAAAGCCAAAAGGAAGTGCATCACTTGGAATATCCAGCATCAAACCATACTCCTCCCAATGTAACTGACTGGATTGACCACCTACCACTAAGAATCTATTTGATGCAATAACTTTGACACCTGGTAAAGGACCTAAAAAGTATTACAATTAGTAAGACATTCTCTATCTCATGACAAATTAAAGTGAAATATTTACAAAGCATTAATTTTGGTAACTATAAAAAATTGCTAATACAAAACCCATTATTTGTTTTATGGTTGCAAAATTGTAAGTATAAAACTGCCAATAAAGATTTCCAAATCAATAACTTTCACATTATATTCTTACCAATAAATATTCTTGGATCTGGTTTCCAGCACATAGCCACAAGAAGTAAAATGAATATTGTATACATAACACCAATTGATGACATCTTTGCTGATGGAGATCTAAATTCATATAAGTCAGCAGCTTTAACTGTTTCCTTGTCCACTATTAAAAGTTCATGTAACAGCATTACATGTAGATTGAATCCTAAAGCTTACACTCTAGTTCTTGGTTTTGGCTAAATGTAGTTTTTTCTTCTTTTATTTCTAATGATTTCAACTTACCTACATGTACATGCATAATTATTATAGGTTTATGTCATGAGATCCATTGCTTACTTTCTGTTAGACGTTCTATTTCTTTATCCTTTGCTTTCGAAATTTTATTGAGTGTAGCTATTTCTTCTCTTCTTGATTCATGAAGCTGTTTAAAATCATCTTCCATTTTCTTTAAAGTTTCAGTTTTTTCTATAATTATAAGGTTAGAAACAGGATATTTTCTTCAATACCTTTAAGCTCTAATTGACATGCATTAAGTGCAACTTCTTCTTTTTTCTTTGATTCATGAAGCTGCTTCCAATCATCTTCCATTTTGTCCAAAGTTTCAGTTTTTTCTATAATTATAAGGTTTGAAAGTGCTTTATCATCTTAATACCTTTAAGCTGCAATTCACATTGGCAAAGTTCCTTCTCTGTTATGATCAATCTTTCTTTGCTTGCTACAGTTGTATAAGGTTCAATTTAAATATACAAAATTAATTTTAAAATGCTAAACTTACACTGAATTTCTTCTTCGTATTCATGTAGTGCAACTTTCAGTGCTGAAACTTCTTTTTCCCTTGAGTTCAATTTTTCTGTAAGTGATTTTACATTGTCATTTAATGTAAGAATATAGTCTAAAAGTCAAAAGTTAACTTATTTATAACACAATTATGCATTAAAAACATACCAGACATTTTGTCTTGGCTTAATGTATAACTCTGCAGTTCTTCATCACGTGAGACATGTTCAGGTACACCACCCTTTTCCTTTATTCCTAAATTCATTTTTTTTCTAAATGCAACATGCATAGATAAAATACTTACCAGAAATTTTATAAGGCAACAATGGGTTACTAAAAGTAATAAAGTATACATGTACACTGAAATATTTTAAAATTGTATCAATAGTACATACCTAAAGTCAAACAGTCTTAGAGTTCTTAGCTTCCCACATAATTTCAAATATTCATGCCAGCATTGTACAGTACTTCCACCTCGATCAGGATGGAAAAGTGTGGTAAGTTCAAGCTTTTTAACTTCTTCTGGAAAACCAATTGCAACAACATAAAACTTTGCCCTCGTTATCGCAGTATTAAAAACATATGGATTGAACAGACTCTTAATATTCATTCCATCATTTTCTAGACTTAAAAAGATAGCTTGAAATTCATGACCTAACAGAATACAGAATAATAAAGAGAGCCACATATTGACTACACGTAAATGTAAACTACTTGTTGATCTAATACATGTATAGCAGTAGCTCTCACCTTGTATCACAAAAGAAGGCTTATAACTAACATTTCTCACTGCCTCATATTCTTTGTACATATATGCCATGCTTTTGATGAGATTCAACTGCAAAAGGTGCATAAAAAAGTCACAACAACAACATTTAATAACCAAGTACCTGCTTCCTTGTTGATGCAATGATGCAAACATCATGCCGAGGATTGAACTTAAGATTTAATTGCTTCATCGTTTCCAAGTAGCTTCGAACTTCTTCTAACACAACACATGCTTCAATCCACTGTTTATCTGGATGATCAATGATCCTCGAGTCAACAGAAACAAAATTGTAGCCAGTAGGACCACAGTAACTTTGAAGGACTTCATCAGTATTTAGCTCCAGATGTTTGTAGAATAGATTTGGCAAACACATCAATGAGTTATGTGATTGGTAATTCACTGATAATTTAGTGATATAGTGTGTCGCTACTGGACCTACTTCTTTATATCTTATCAACAAACGTTCCAATAAGGAAATATGAAGACCAAACATCCTAGCCTCTTTTCCCAACACTAGTATGTTAGGACCAACCTGTAAAGAAAAATAAATTTAATCTGAGAGCAAAAAATGGATGTCATTGTACCTGCTGCATGTCACCTGTTAAAACTATTTTAGCATCTTTAGTAGCTAGAGCTAGCGGTGTAATAGCTTCTGGCTCACGAACTTGAGCTGCTTCATCGAGAAAAAGGTGAGTAAAGAATCCTTCAGGAGAGTAGAGGTACTGATAAAGGTTGAGAGACATGGTATATGTGGCGATTATAATGACATGACCCAGTGTGCATATATCAGCACTATGCATTGCAAACTCCTCTGGTGTCATGTACATGTCAGCATAAACACCTTTATTCTCTTGCTTAGTAATTAAAATCACCTTGAAAGGAAGATAAAATCTTTTCCGCATTACACCAAAGTAAGCAAAGATGAAGGTTGTAATTGATATTTCATGGTGAGCAGAAATCAATATTCTGGCATGCTTGTTTTCATTAATGCCATTCATCATTACTTCAAATGCAGCACGAGCAAGGATTCGAGTCTTACCAGTACCAAACGGACCATAGAGAATAATAGGAGGAAAAGGTTCACCAATTAATGATGACTCAGACACAATTATCTTTAGAGCCTTTAATTGCTGCTCATCATCTAGTTTTATACAATCAAAACTAGAGTGCTGAGGGTCAAACGTAAGGAACAAGTCACCAAAAGAAGAGGCATCAGGCAGCAACAGACACTTACGGACATGCTCAGGAGTCTTGACGACAGATTCATGAAGATGATCAAAGTAGGAGTATTTAAGAGTAAACTGAGCAGAGATATTTATCTCACTCCCTCCTTTAACCCTGGTACCATTTTTTATTGCTTCAGATAATTCAGGAGAATGAGAAGCAACTACATACAAGCAATTTTCAATGTGGTTAAAGTTGTAATAATGTTTGAAGGCTATAGTTAAATGTTGATCAGAACCATCTGATCTCAAAATTGTGATATCATCACTTGCTTGTGTAGCATATTCAATCTCATCATCGGATAAGCCAGAAATATAACCATAACAAACATTAGGACGAGGATGACGATCAAGAAAAGGAGGGACTTCCTTGTGATCAAATATTGTAAACTTATAGTTTATGCCATCACACCTATGAAAATAACATTTATTATTATGTACATGTATTTCATGTTGCATATACTTTTTTGAAAGCTTCTTGATATGTTCATCTTCTTCAAACCATAATGCACTATAGAAATGTTGCTGGTAATTATCAGATGTCAAGTCACTAGGTGATGATATAGGTGGTTTATTCTTTCGTCTCTGCTCAAACTTCATTTTTTGCCACGAAGTAGATATTCCAGTAGGTCTTAAATTTGGAATCTGCTTTTCGACTGGGTTTGAACTCTTGCTTTGCTGCGGTTTTTGATTATCAGGTGATTCTGTTGCATCAAATTAAAATATTTCACATTGTGATCATATCACAAATAGTCTCGCCCCGCCCCTTCGCGGTAGCGAAGGGGCGGGGCGAGACTATATCACAAATCAAAACCATACTTTCTTTCATTTCTCTTCTCTTTTGCTGTTCATCATCTTTTTCAAATGCACCTAAACAATACTGATAGCAGTTACATTGAGGTACATAGTACTTACAATCATTAAGGAAATTGAGCGTCTGCTCAATTATGTCAACTCTATCACTTTCCTTGAGAGCCTTAATGAGATTGTAGTAAGTAGCCCTCTCCCCATTCTTCTCCTTCCACTTCTTCAGTACATTTATTCGTCTCTCCTCTTCACTATTGCTGTCAAATTTAATGCCCTTAATCTCAGCTCTTGTTAGCCCCAAGTACAGAGCAACCATCTCCCAGTTATCTAAGCATTTACTCAATCTAATTAAAACATTCTCAGAGCACTTGTGGCCTTGCACATCTTCAAACGTAAGCCCTTTTTTGTCAAAAAGGTCTTTCAGAGTTATCACTGTGAAAAGAGCCATTAATTAGAGGTTTTTGCTTGAATTAACTCACAAAAGCTGCTCTCTGCTTCAGCCATCTTGATTCTTGAATAACGTTGTCGAGATCGACTTGTCGTCATGTCGTGTTTTTACTATATTCATTCTAACCATATATGGTAATAGCCTAATAGGCTGGGTTGTGGGCACAATAACTAATGAATATCATCAAGAGTGGGACTCTTGATATGACACAGATTAAGGGTAATTCCAGTGATATATATAAGGCATAGACAGATCCAAATGCCACCCTTTTCGGTCTACACCATGTGGCTCAGTGTTACTGTCAATAAAACGACACTATGTTTTATTCTTTTTACTTGCCTAGCTAGTCTCTAGCTCTTTTTCTTATGTAGATCTATGTAGTTACTGCATGCACACACAACATATGCCAGTACATCATTACAAAATTCCTCAAGTGTATACAAGTATTGAATTTAGCCACAGATTAAAAGACAGTTTTATTATCATTGGTTTGCAGAGGATCAGACATCCAAACACATTAATGTGATATCAGTGATGCAATATCTTGACATAATCTTATAGCAAATCAAAAATGAGTGCCATGAGAATATGAAGCTGGCTGGCATAAGGCAGGCAGGTAGGCAGGATTGCTGCGCTAGAGAGAGAGCTAACGATGCCTCATGTTGACACCCAAACACTGATTATAATAATTACACAGCATGCATTATATACAAAGATAGTTCATGATTATTTATGAGTTCTGATGTGATGTCATGATGAGTCAGCTCACTACAATCTCTTCAAAGATGTACCAGTATACTGATAAATGGGGCACTAAATGTAAGACCAATTTTAAATTTACATAATGCCTAATAGCTTGCTTTTGCCAATATTATATTCTTTATTAATGATAAATAATGAGTAAATGCACACAAAATTTCTAAAGTTATCGTTTAACCTGCTGTCCACTAATCAAGAACAATTTTTCATCTAATTGTTTAGGAGTCTCTTTAAAGCAAGCAACTAGATAACTGCTGGCGGATTCACTTGTTACTTTTCTTGTCATCTTATTCTACAGAACAAAAATTATCAACATTACAATATTTAGAAATTTTGGAATCAACTTTGCCTTAATAGGGATTCATACAGGATTCTTTATAGGGGGGACATAACAGAAAGTAATGGTAACATCACATATTTTTGAAGATTTCTATTCTTTGATATTGGACTAATCAAGCAAAAGCCAATTTGCCAGCAGGCATGAGCTGTAATACACATGATTTCAATGTATGGTTTTTGCAATGAAAAGCAGTGAATCACAGTTTTAACCCTTTTATTAAATACTATACACTGTACTACTTGAGAGAGGGGGAATCCCAGATTCCCCTGTATGAATCCCTGCTTAAGAAAACATTTAGCTTGACTACTAATATGAAGTTACCGTTACTGTTTCCTGATAAAAAACCTTGTCATTCACTCTCAGTCTTTGACTTTTCAAAAGTTCATCAGCCATTTTAAATCCCAGTGTAGATCTAAAGAATAGTTTGTGATGGTTAAATCATCCATAAATCACATCAACTTTAATTTTGTGCATTCTACAAAGTGATTTTCTTTTGTCTGGTGAAACTTTTGACATTTTCTTTATCCAAAATGAGAATAAAATGCACATGTTACAAACAACACATACATGTATCCTTTTACAGAATTAATGAAGCAGTATTTTTCACAAAAAGGCAAAAGAAACCCACAATACAGCCATGGGAACTGGAAAGCAAAGTACCGTATTTCCTTGATTACTAGCTGCGGCTACTATAAATTTCAGCTCAAATCAACAGGGGCTACTATTTGAGGAGGACGGTCACTATTCAAAGGCATGCAGCTACTATTTCTCTCTTAGCAAACACGTGGCCGGTCACGCCTGCAAGTGACCTAGTGTTGGACCAGTATTTTGGTACTAGAACTAAATTGTTATTTAGTACTGTAATTTTTATCATAGTATAGTAAAATACTAAAACCAATACTATACTAAACCTGACTACGTGTAATGTACTAGAACTATACTATACTAAACCTGACTACATGTAATGTACTAAAACTAATACTATACTAAACCAGACTGCATGCAATGTACCAGAACTAATACTATACTAAACCAGACTACGTGTAATGCACTAGAACTAATACTATACTAAACCAGAGAACTAATACTATACTAAACCAGACTACGTGTAATGCACTAGAACTAATACTATACTAAACCAGACTACGTGTAATGTACTAGAACTAATACTATAAATAGTAAACCTGACTACATGTAATGATGTACTAAACCTAACTACATAGAACTGCATACTATAATTATGCATGCATGTGCACTATGCATATTCTACATGTGTATCTGATAACATACATGCAACCATTGAACCATGCGTAATATAGCTTATATTTATACCATTATGCACATGGGACAAACACATGCTTCTAGTTCTAGCTAGCTAACATACAAAATTATGGCTACTGCAGCAGCTGTGGTGAGTAAAAGATGTCCTGTCTGGGAATTATTCTTCAAGTATTTTAAAGAAGAAAATAAACTCTTTGCCTAGTTGTCTAATACTAGTACTAGAACTTATCACCCATTAGTACAGAACTAATACTAGTACTAAAACATATCACCCATTAGTACAGAACTAATACTAGTACTAAAACATATCACCCATTAGTACAGAACTAATACTAGTACTAAAACAAATCACCCATTAGTACAGAACTAATACTAGTACTAAAAAATATCACCCATTAGTACAGAACTAATACTAGTACTAAAACTAATTTCCTAATAGTAATAGAACTAATACTAGTACTAACTATAAAAGTCAGTACTGGTCCAACACTAACGTGACCACACCCATCAGTCATGTCACCATGTGTGCGCATGTAATAGGAGAGAAACTATACATGTAGGTCTTTCTGGAGAACGACAATGAGTACACATGGCACATTAATTAATTAAATTTTAATTAACTGCGGCTTCTATTGGAGGGTGGCTACTATTACAATAGCTGCAAGCACGGGGGGGGGGCTACTATTTGGATGTGGCTACGGCTTCTATTCGAGGAAATATGGCAATATAAATAAATGTTTATAATAATGATATACATGCAATTGTGCATACTAGTACCATACAATACCATTGTCCTTGCCATGTTCTTTCATTGTTAGTTAAATAGAGCTACCTATATACATGTAGCTAACCAAATAACCTAACCTATTTGTGTGAAACTATTGGATTGACACAAATACATGTAAGTTAGGTTATTAGATTGAATCTAACTCTATCTTTTGTTTTTAAGCAAACTACAAACAAAAAACTTCAAGCACACAAAACAAAATACAGTACAAGATGATTTATTGGTCTGTATTGGTATTTTTGTGGCAAGTTTCATTGAGGATGCATGCTCATATCAAAACAAAATGGCAGGTTTTACATGGGTGATTTCTTCATATAGAGCCACCAATTGGTCCCATTAAGTCATCTTATCAATGTATAGGGTACAAAATGCATTGCGTTGGCTCAAGTTACATTCCTGATGAAGGCAACTGTACAACCAAAAGAAAAGGAATTTTAGTTACAACAAGATCAATTGAAACCTAATACGGCAGCCAGAGTAATGGCATCCATACTATGAACCCATAATCAAATTAACCAATTATATACAACTCACCAGTACAGACTATAGAGCCCAGAAGACAGTCAAAGAATTGATGGTAACGTGCCGTATGAGGCTCCTGGCTGTTATAGGTGTGGTTTGCTGGATTAGACCTCAAATTAAATCTGTAGGAATTCAATGAGATTCAATGCATGAAAATATTAAGAATAGTACCATGTATCTACCAACTTGTGCAATAGAAGTAATCTGTACGCAAACTAGATCTAAGTCAATAATTCTAGAATGCAACTGGCTCTGCACTTGTTTCAACAGATATGATGATTCCAGCATATTAAAGTGTTGAATTCCATGCAGTGCTGCACCAGTCTTTCTAGAAATATTGTATTTAATACATTTGTTGACAAACCAAAATGTTGTTTGCAGTTCTACTAGCTTCAGATATGGAAACATTTTGGTTTCTGTTTTGTTCTAAGGAGTTTCATCTGGCACTTTTAAAAATACTATTTATTATAATATAGAGTAACTTGCGGCTATTCCAACCCATTTCTGCACTGTGATCTAATTAAATATTCACAAATGCATAACTTCTTTGCTTTATGTCATTCATTTTATTCATTGAGTTCTATATTGTCTATTCTATTTGTACTTCCTTAAAATCAGCAAAATTCAGCTTAAAGTTTGAATGAAAACAGTACTTTCACTGACCTAGTTGTTGGGGCTATTCCAACCCTACCGGGGCGATTCCGACCCTCCGGATACTAACTAGTATACAGAAAATTTATGCAGTAACCGGAGAAATACAAACACTATCACTAGATGATAATACTCAAAAAAGTTATGAACACAAATTTTTAGTCAGAGTTGCTTAGCCGCACTTTATAAAGATCAAGCTGTTCTTTGGTGCTGGTAGTTAGAGAATTCTATGCTAAATAGACATGTCTTTGTTCAGTCCTGTATCTACTCTAGTTAAGAAGTTACAGCCAGTTGAAGATCCAGAAAAGGAGAAAGGGGGTTCCAATGTTGCGTGAAGCACCTATTTTTGGCCACACCCCTTTTTGCGGCCATATGACATGTTTTCATGTAAATGGCATATCATAAACAAATAGATAAACATCATTATTATTCTATCGGTGAAATTAATTGGCTTAATCATCTCCCAACATGAAGGACAAGGCCATTCTCCTAGGATGTGACTTTGCAAAGTATCTACAAATTGTAGTAGTCTATAATAGCTGCTAGGTGGTGCATGCATAATCAATATTGATTAAAACAAATCTAAAATCCCAACCACTATAGGCTAGCTAATTTATTTAAACTCTCTCAGATGTCTCTGTCACTATAATTTGCAAAGATTAGAGGTGATAACTGTGTATATTTTCACAAAAATATCGTTTAAAAAAGCATTAAAATATTTTCATTTCTTCAAGGGGGGTTCCATGGAACCCCCCTAAATCCGCCACTGACAACAGGAGAAATAGGACCCTTTAACCGGGGCTATTCCGACTGCTGCACACAGACTTTACATTGGTTTATACAGGAGAACGGAATAGCCCCCACTTACTCTACAGCAAAATCTTCAATGACCATCAGTATAATTTTTGCAGCAAATTTTACAGGATTTGTAAAAATAGCATCTGTAAAATTCAACACAACATGACGAACAGTGTGAAATTATACTATCCACACAAAACTAATTTTTGTGAAAATTTGCAAAAATTTATAATATAAATGTACATACAGCCTTCAAAAATTTCATGGTAATCGATGTTAATTTAAAGTAAGTGCCATTGAGTGGCTCAGTATGAAGTAGATTTAATGTATGTCAATTTCTTGTACGTACCTGTCATCATTAACTGGCTGCTTCTTTATTCTAGTAGTCTACATCTCTCTCTCTAAAATAATAATGATTTCGAAAACATTCAGAAAAAAAGAAAACGTTATCAGTTCACTTATCTGGTATGTGTTAATGTTTTCAACAAAGCCACACCTAAAACCAACACTCCAACAGTGACACTCCTAAGACTTCAGAAATAATTATGGCGGATCGGGATGCCTCTCCTGGGCCTCTGCTAGTTGGGCTTACCAGACCCTGACACAGCAACTATTCAGCTCAATACGTAAGTATGTTGAATTATACAGTATCTTTAGTGTTGCAGGGTTTCTTGACAGGATTGCATGTATTGTTTTTTTGCATGAACTTTGCTTTTTGTAGTCTGACACATGATAATTAGGCTTACTGACAATAACCTTATACACACACCATTCCATATTAATGCTGGAGTGTGTATTTCCATTTTTTGCTATAAAGATTAGTAGACGGTAACCATGTAGTTGATGTACACCAATTTAGTTTCGCCCTGCTCCTACGCTTACCTCCCAATAAACCTTGCCATATAGTAACAATTATAATAATCCTGTTTATGAAACCTTAATGTGCAACAATTTTTAGTTTGATCGATTTGCATTTGCATGCTTAGAAATCAAGTATTAGCTATGTGTGCGTGTCTTACAACATACATATGTATGCAATGTGTACATTATGTGTGTATGTTTGCGATGTCACATGTATGCAAATGTAACATGCAACTACTACATGTACTATTACTGCTATCAAGAGTAGATAGTAGAAAGAGAGTGTCCTACTGTGATATACCCCCTGC